CCACCTCAATTCCAGAGGGTAGGCTGCTGTTCTGTTGGGCCAGGAGAACGAGTTCCCCTAGACCTGAGGGGCCAGGGTCACCATCCCCGTGTGCCTGGAAAGCAAGACTGACACCCTGTGCCGAGGGACCTCTATCCAGAATCTGGAGAGCTTGGTCAGTGCCCAGAGTTCAGAGAATAGGGCCATTGCCCAGATGTGCCTGGAAAACAAAAGATTATTTTCAAGCCTTAAGAGCTAATGAAACCTGCTAGGTTTTGGACAAGCTTGGTACCTATGACCCCTTCTTTCCCTCCAATTCCTCCCATTTGAATGGGAGTGTCTGCTTTATGCAGGGTTCACCATTGTACTTTGGAAGCAAATAACTTCTATTCTGGGTGTCACAGGTCCATAGATGGAAAGGACTTTTGCCCCAGGATGGAATACACTCAGAGTTTCACTTATATTTGATTTAGATATTTCAGAAGATGAGATTTTGGACATAGAGTTGTTGCTGGAATGGGTTAAGACTTTTGGGGATGATGTGATAGACTGTGTTTTGCACATGGGAAGGGCATGAATCTTGGGGGCCAAAGTGTGCGTTGTTGTAGGTTGAATTGTGTTACCCCAAAATATGTACTGAAGCCTTGGCCTTTGTAACTGTGGATGTGATCCTGTTTGGAAATAGGATTTTTTTCTTTTGTTATTTTAATGAGGTCATAGCAGGAGAGGGTGGGTCCTAAACCTAATCAATTCTGAGTTACAAAAAGAGCAGAATAAACACAGAGACACACACTAGAGGAGGACAGACTCCAAGGAATTGATGATAATACTTTCCTAAGGAGGGGGAGGGCTGGGAGTACTCAGACTGTTTGTAAAACAAATGGCATGTTGCTGGACACATTATAGGTGCTTAATAAATGCTAGCTGTTTTTTTTTTTTTTTTTTGAAATTAAAAGAAATTTGCATTTAGTTTTGTGTTCTGCAGTAGTTCTTCTCAGTTCATTTTGCTACCTTGAGAAAGTGTATCTCAATACGCAGTTAAATAATTTGAAAAAAAAGTGTTTTATTTAAAAGTGTTACAATTGTAGGCATAGTTAGCTTTGAGTTATCCATAGGTCATTGATCCACATCATTTTAAACTTTCTCAAAACAATTACGTTCTCTGCTTCCCTTTATTGATTCTGCTACTTTTTGTTTGTTTCTACAAGGAGAACTGTTTAAACCGATCCCCTCAAACCACTTAAGAACAGACAATAGCAACTCAAAAGATTAGATAGGAACCTTAGGGAGCAGTGAGTTTATGTCAGTGAGGGAGGAACAACTCAGAAAACAAGGGTGAGAATGGTAGTACAGCTCGAAGAATGTAATCAATGTCACTAAATTGTACATGTAGAAACTGTTGAATTGGTGTATGTTTTGCTGTGTATATTCTCAACAACAAAATAAAATCTAGAAGGGAGAAAAAAACTCCCAAGAACAATCATGGGCCTGTGTAAGGTAGAGAGAGAGAAGCCAGCCCTGCTTCATGTGGAGGTTGCACCATTCAGCTGAGAAGAATTAAGTAAAATGGAAAAACACACCCCCTTCATCCGTCTTACCCTTACAGAAGCCCTACAGATAGAATAAGCAATATCATCTCTATTTTGCAGATGGGGAAATGAAAGTTCAGTGAAGTTAAGCAGCTTGCCTAAATTCACACAAATATTAAGTGGCTAGTATAACATTCTAATCTGTATCTTCTGATTTCTAATCCAGCATATTTTCTTAACTACCACTCACCTTTGTTTTTAACTTCCTTGAACCAGCTTTTCAGAGTGTTGCTTAGGTATTTTGGTTTTAAGGCATATAATACTTGATTTCAAATGTAGGTAGATAACAAAACTTGGGTTTTTTTAATCATTTACTTTTTTTCCCATGTCACTGCCCTGCACTGATGGAATTAACATTGGAGGGGTAACAGTATTACAGACTAGTTTTTCATGTTCAAAGAAAGTCTACTGTAGTTATTGAAAATGTATTCTAATTCTATTAAACCCTGCTACTTTGTTTTTAAACCAGCTTGTATAATTTCTTTCTCCCTACTGTAAATTGGGCATAGTTATTCAAAAGGGGTTTTGATATTTAGTACATAAAATTGCAAATTAAAAGGTGCTCTAAAAGTATACGGTTTTATTAATAAATTAGAGATGGCATTACCCTGGTAGTTATTAGTGTAGAAAAAGTTATAGAGTTATAAGCCACAGACTCCCCACCTACTTTATTGAAGGCTGGGTCTAAGAATCATTCACCATCATATCCCTAGTGCCTAGCATAGTCTCTGGGATTTGACATTTAGTAGCTGCTCAGGAAGTGTTCTTTGCATTTGTTGATTGGATGGATGGATGGATGGATGGATGGGTGGATGGGTGGGTGGATGGATGGATGGATGGATGGATGGATGGATGGATGGATGGATGAAAAAGAAAAGGAATATTATCTCCTTTCATTCTGGAAGTATAATACAAATAAGTTATTTGGCTTCCCTTATGTATTTTATAATTTCTAATAGCTTCAAGTCTGTCAAGTTGTAATAAGGTAGGGTTGTTGCTCTGGTCCCTCCGAACACATATCTGTCTATATCAGTCTGTTCTAGAGACTGGGTTATGCTAATCTTCCCAGTTACTTAAAACTACTACACAAGAGTAATAATAGCAATCAACCTTACTGTTTATGATAACTGTTAGCATCCATTATCTCATTTGATTTTCAAAACAGTGCTTTTCGGACAAAGGTATGTATTAGTTCTCAGACCCTAAAGCTGGACTTGTGAGATTCAAATCCAGCTCCAACACCAAATCCCTGTGTATTTCCATGCATAGTATCTCACAGTATCTCCATGCATCGGTTTTCTTAGCTGCAAAACAGGGATGATAAGTGTACTCTTATAATAAGATTGTCATAAAATTAAATGAAATAATGCAGGTAAAGTTCTTAACATGGGGCCTGGCCACCGTAAGCCTTCAACAATTCCTCATTGTCTTAGTGGCAGTGGTAGTACTAACAGCGGTTCTTGTTGCTACGCATCTGCCCTTCGATGCTTGGTGTTTCTTCAGGGCAGTGATTGTGTTTTGTTCTTGACATCCCCTCCTACCATAGTGCCTGTCATAGATTAGGTACTCGACAAATAACTATTGGATTGAATGAGGTAGATAATTTTTTTTTAATCAGAAAGTTATTTTCCAAATGACTAAATTTAAGCTCAGAGGGGCACCCCACAGGTTTTGAGCAGCTGCTGTAAATCAGTCACATAGATAATGTCATTTAATCTTCAGGCAACCTCCTGAAAGGTTCAAGTGGGGGCCCCAGTATTCAAACCTACATCTTTGAGTCCAACGCTGAGAACCCTTTCCACCAAACTCTCTTGCCTTTCCTACAAAACATACACCAATTTTTCCAGGGTCAGTTACTGATATATAATCATTATATCATTTGAGAAAATAAGTTATGAGATGAATTGATTATCTAGGTTTTATTTACTTGTTAGATCTTAGAGATAACTGTGCACAAACACATTATACTATTCTCAGTGTCCTAGCGTTTTGAATTCTAGAGAGAAAAGGACAACAGGTAACTGAATGTGAATAAGAAAAGATGAACGAATAAGAAAAGAAGAGTCTGAACAGATATAGAAAGGGTAGGGTAAGTGAGTGCTTTACAAATGAAAGCAGATGTATGAAATTACAAGCTGTCAGATCAGCAGTGGAAATGAAGATGATAAAGTGGTTCCTTACACAGATTCTAATTATTCGTTTTGCCCAGTCCCGTCTCCTTTCCCTGTAATCCTCATGGGAAAGGGGGCAGGGTGGGGAGTTATAGCAAGAAATGGTATTTTCAACAGAAGAAGAAAAAGAATCTAAGAACCAAGGGTGTTCCTGGTCACAAACAATTGTTTGTTTTGTGATCTGTATTGTTTGCATTGAATCACAGTCATTTTCCTACGGAAGATTTTTCAACCTTTCTGATCACTGAAGAGGATTTGGTTATGACCACAGGAAGTTGTAACTGTAAAGTTTTTCACAGTCAGTGCTATGGAGGCAGGCAGTGTGGCTCAGAAAACAAGCATCGTTAATGGGAGTGTGACAGAGTGGCAGATGGATTACAAAGAAATGAAGTCGTTTACATAGACCTGCCTCAAAAGATGCATTTAATAATTGTGCTCATAATTAGGTTGGTTCAAAAAAAAAGTAAATGACAGTCTAAGGAACATAGTTAGACTTATATGTGAAGATATTGACATTTTTCTTCCAAGAAATACTGCATAGATATTCTCCCTAAATTTCTTGTTACCTTTAGAAAAACAAAAAATTGGAAGAAATTGTTTTTTTAATTTTCACTTATGTAATATTTTATATAAAGAGTAAATATAATGTGTAAGTTTTGAAGCATAATAATCAAAGTAAATATCATTTTATGAGACTTTTTAAACTGGTTCTTTCCCATTCATAATGTTACTAATTTCTAAGCAACAAAACCAGGGACATTTAAACACAGCAATATAAATGCCAATAAATGTGCATGCTTCTGAGAGTTTATATTGCAAGCGCACATACATATCTGTATCTGAGGCTCTTCCTCCCAACAGCCCCTGAGGATAAGTGCTAATATATCAGATTGCAACTAATAGTTCAGTGTGCTGCTTCAAAGGACATTTGGTAGGAATCCCTTCTCCCTACTTCCATTTATCCAATCAGTAGAATGATTAGTTTGCATTCTTTGAATCTGGAAACCCTGGTGGCATAGTGGTTGAGAGCTATGGCTGCTAACCAAAAAGTCAGCAGTTCAAATCCCCTAGCTGCTCCTTGGAAACCCTATGGGGCAGTTCTACTCTGTCCTGTAGCGTCGCTATGAGTCAGAATCAACTCAACAGCAATGGGTTTGGTTTTTTTTTTCTTTGCATCTAAGTTGTTAGTTTTTATATTCTTAGTAACGCAAAATACCTGAAACAGTATTGCTTCTGAATGATTTTTTTCTCTCTTGTTTAGTGATTTCTAGTAACTACCAGACCTGTCTTGGCCTTCTGATGCATTACCCCCCCATCGGGGATGTACACTCACTGATCCTTAAGGCTCTGTTCCTTCGAGACCCAAAGGTAAGCTTTCCAGGTAGGATAGACACAATTTTAACTTTGGTGAAGAATGAGTTTCTCTGTATGACTCCAAGAATTCATAATGCCGAGATGATAGAATTTACCTCAGGTTTTTAGACTGAAATTCATGTGCTTCATTGACCAGCACCTCAGCAGATAAATTAAGTGGACACTGCCAGGGGACACTGGAGCACACATCTCTTGCCCCTAAGAAGGGTTGTTCTGTCCTCCTGCCTTCCTCACAACTCGAGAAAATAGTTAGCAACTGCCAACCTTACAACCACACTTCATTGCTGTTAGTATCCTTCTCAGGGGATAACCTAGCAAAGCAGACCCTCGGGGACCATCTGAAGACCAAGAAATTAGACCTATAAAAGGGACCAGTTCTATAAGAATTTATGATATAATAAAATACTAAATTATTTCATCTTATGAATATACATTTCTTACTTTGTGGGCTATGGGTAACCTAATAAGATAAAAGTTTAAGCAGACTTAAATGCTGATTTCTGTATTTGAGCTGAAAGCAATTCACCAAAATTTTCTTTACACTTCAGAGCAAAAGTGTGCTCTTTTACAACTAATGTTATATTTCTTGAAAATAAGAACATTTAAAGATCTAAAAAAATCTGTGAATCCTTCCTGCTTTTGAGCCAAACAAAAATATTGGATGAAGTGTGAGAGAGAAAGCTTCAAACACAAGTATGAGAATGCCAGGCATTGGATGGTAATCCCAGCCTTCAGCGTTTTGGCAGACCTCCCAACAGTCAAGTCGGCAGTTGTCGAACTGTCTTTGAGTCAGTCTGTCTGTGGGTTCCATTGCCAAAGCTCTGTCTGATCGACTTGGTCCTCCAAGTTCAACATAAATTTTGAATCTGAGGGATTTCTGCCCTTTCCTCGGTTGTCAACTTCAACATTTGAGTATATCTTCGATTTATGCTTTGATTGAGATAAAAGAATTTATTACCTTATGCCTATATTCATTCTCTTTAGAAATATACGCTTATAGATGGTCTCTCTTACATAAAGCAGTTTTACTAAGCATCAGAAATTTCTTTGATAACATAAGGACACATACAAAGGTTTTGGCCTTTGAGGTGTTTTGTTTGTTTTATTTATTTTTTTGTAAGGTTTAGAAGTCTGACTATAGAGAACAAAAGTCCTGTATTTATATTTTTATGTACAGATGTATATGTGTGTGTGTGTACTATATGTGTGTGTTTTACAAAAAAAATAACCAAGATTAAGAGATATCTGTAGGAGAGAATAAAGTATGAGGTTGCTGGTCAATGAGATACATGAGTGTTGTCTGCAAACTTTAGGCAGTTTCTATCAGCTCAGCATTAGGCATTTCTGGAGTCATACAGAGTAGGGAAAATTGCTTAAATAGCAATTTAAAATTTCTACTTTGTGATTTGTTTAGTTTAGTTAAATGGAGAAACTAATACGTTGTCTAAACTTATCAATCCTGGTCATTTTTCCCTAGCCAAATATGGTTACTCTTCTCTTCCTATGAATCACTCATGCATCTAGTAGCAGAATTCTATGTACTATGCCCATCAGTGTTGTTATAGGAATCTAAATGCTCTATTATGTTAGTATGATTTTAATAGAGTACTTTTTATACAGTGCTATACATAATATAAAAGTACAATGAAGCAAATCCTGTAGCATTAGAATAATAGATTCTTTAAGCTTTAAGATAAAAAAAAAATAATTAAAGCATAAATGTCTAAAAAGGAATTCCCCACCTTTGCAGTCACAGTCTTACCAAGTAAAATATGATCAAGGTAATGGTCCAAAATGTAGAACCATAAACTGATACCTCTGAGACATAAGAAATTGGATGTAAGAAAGGTCATGTTTAAAAGGCTCCTTGAGAACAAGTTCATGGAACAATGACATCTATAGGAAAAGTAAAGAAAGCTGCATAGCATTAAGGGGCTTTCAGATGACTAACCCAGCAATGTGACAGTTACAGTTAATTGTATATAATAGCTGACACACTGACAGCATTTAGTAAATGTCAAGCAATAACTAGCGTCACTTGGCATTTGTGCTAATTGTATGTCCACGGCAGTGTAGTGTCCTGCACGGAGACTGAATTAGGAATCGAGACTCTGGGTCAAGCTTTGGCTCTGCCACCTACCATGCTTGTGATTTGGAGAAACTCATGCTAGCTGAGTAGTGTTGTCTTTTTGTAACATCTGGAGGTTGAATTAAATTCTCTGTGATGATGCACCCAGCCAGAGCTTACTTTGTCCATAAAGAACTAACTTCTAATAAACTAACAAGATCCAATCTGATGCTACAAAGGTGCAAATGAAAAAAACCCAGCAAGTTTATCCATACCATAGAAATCCACAAGTGGGCAGAGTTTTCAGGATAGCTAATGTTAATTATAAAGGAGGCTATTTATGCTGATGGGTAAAAACAGAGAGGGAAAAATGGTGCTAGTACCCTTACTCCTATTTTCTAAAAATCCAGAGACAACAGAGTGCTTTAAATATTTTCTATTTGTTAACAACAGTGAAACACTTAAAATACTTGAATCATTCCGAATGTTTACCAATTGCTCAGAGTAAGTAAATATACAAGTCCCTAACAAGTGAACTGGTAGAAAGATGAGATTTGAGGCATGAAATCACACGTTTCCATATCCCAGCTTCCTATGACAGTAGTGTTGAGTGCTGCTGACAGGTTCAGCAGATTAAAAATAAACAAGACATTCTAAGTCCTCCTAAGTTCATGGTCACCCTTCAGAAAAGCACTCGGTCCTACCGCCATCTCTAAACCCCAGTGGAGATTGCTCAGTTGAAAACAGACTCTACAAATAGAGCTTGAGACACTGTGGTCTAATTGTTTTATATCAGAGGTAGTCTTTACTGTGGAAAGATTTCTCATTTGAACAGGCTGAAATAATGGGCCTGTAAACTGTAATAATAGGATCATACTTCTTCACAGTTTTCTGAGCACTTTGACACATACGTAATTTGTTCCTCACCACAACCTTATGAGGTAAGCAGAGTAGGTTATTTTACATACTCTTTTTAAGGTTATGTGGCTTTGCCAGGGTCAGAAAGTTCTGTGTCCTGCATGTGGTTGGTATTAAGAAAATAGTGGTAGAATTGAATTCTGACTCAAACGCTAACCCTTTTTCCAGTGCACTACACTGACTCTAAAATCTAGGCAGAGCTTGCTCACCGGACAGGTTTCTAGAGCCCATATCCACATTCCACAGAGGCTGTAGACAGTTGCAAATTTGTATGTGAGCTGCCATTTTTATCAAGATGATGAATTGACTTACAACTTAAAGGATTTCTGGTTCCTTAATTTGCTATGTGTCAGAATTATTAAAAAAAACCTCTTCTTACCTTCAAATATTATGGAACAAAGAAAAAATAATAAAGAATCTAGATAATATACTTCAGAACTGGAAAGAACTTAGTATCCTTCTTTCATTGATGAAGAAACGGAGGATCAAGGTGAAGTTGAAAGACTTATGTAAGGTCAATAGCAGAACGAGCAGTTGAACCCAGGTGTTCAGACTACCCTCCACACAAGAGCTTAACTTCATTTGTTTTAAAAATAATGGAATTGTAGTTACTAATAATTCTCAGATTCTTCTATTTTTAATAGACAGTTATTTGCATTTGCAATAAGTAAGTGAAACTGCCATGTACTTAAGTGATCCAAGAATTATTTGAAATTTTTGAAAACGTATGATGTATGAACAGCCTGGGTATCAAATATCTATCTGTAACGTCTTACCCTCTGCACACTGTACATATGGTGTCCAGGTTTAGCCCTTCAACCTATAGTCCTAATTCTCATTTTCTTGTCTTTCTCATGTTAGTACCACAGAGCAGATTTCCAAAACAATCCACTGAATGAAGTGGAGGGGTAGGAGGAGGATGGTCTGAAAAATATGAAGTGATAAAAAAAACATTGTTCTAACTAGTTGTTCAAATTTAAAAAAAAAAAAATTTAAAACCCAATTAGAAACAAAAGTCATAGAAAATGTGAACATATTGTGTTCCTTAAATAACCAGATGTTCTCCCCTTCCTGAAGGCAGTAAGGCCTACGAATAAAAGGTTTAAAACTATTGTTTTAAGTTAACTGTGAATTTTGCAAATCTGTTTTTACCCTTTAGCAAATAAAATTCTAATACAGAAACATAAGCAGAGTAATTTTCATTTTTTGGTGCTCTCCTATTTGTGTTGTGTGTTGAAGTGTTAACCTTATCACAAAGACTTATTACAAATGAAATACAGTACATGGAGTACCATTTTAGATTATGCTGTAAGAATTTGACAGCTACTCTTTGTTTTGAAGACTAAAATATTCCAAAAAATATTTCTGGTAAGTTTGCAATCAGCCGTTTTAGCTGTGACTGTTATTGTTTACGGAAGAAAATTGCTAGCTGTAAGATGATTAAATTTCATAGTCATTCTTGTACCAGAAACACACTATAAAAAATATAATGTAAAATGTTTTGCTTGGCCAGTTCCGACTGAGTTTTTGTTTGGGGTTATATTAAATTTTGTCTTCTTAAATTATAAAAAGTCTAAATACTAAGATTCCAGGTTTTATGCAGGTGATTAAATTTTTACTCATTTAATGAAAAAAAAAAAAAAAAACCCCACTGTGTATTGAAGTACGTACAACAGTTTTGCTAATGTCGGATGACTTCAGTAAAATGTCATAGACCAGAGTTGAAAAGTAGTAAATGGATTCAAGCATACTACCAGTCAGGTAACGATGTTAGAAAATTTTCCATTCTAATGATGCCATTGTAATCTTCCTTGTCTCAGCAGTAAAGAACCTAAAAAACCACCCATAGTGACTCTTTGAGGAGGATACACAGTATCCGTTTACTTTTCGTGATACTCCCATCAGAGTTTCTATTTAGATTTTCTAGTATGTTTCTAATCTGACTTTCTGTTATGATTTCATGCTACAGAAAGATTGCTAGAGTAACTCCTGTCTTCTCTATCCCTTT